AGTGTACTTTGCATATATATGGGAGTGATTTCATGTTAACATGTCATTGTAATAGAATTTAGAAAACCATATTTGTGGCATTTATAAGACCCAAAAAATTACACATACACCCTCTTTTCATCCAATTAATCAACCCCTGAAAAAATAAAATTCAATTTGCACCATAGATCAGGTCAAAATGAGTCCCCCTCCAACAATGAATTTAGATTGTCCATTTGGTTTGGCTTTTATGAACTCAGTTTTTTTTTTCTTTTTTGACAGTATTTATCTGATAATAAAGCCATCTAAAAAATTTGGAAAGGGAAAAAATCCTTTTAAGGCCCAGATCTAAGCATCTCACCAAAGTAGATGGCCTATGTTCTAAAAAAATATCTTTACGAGTGTATTTTTAAATTTTTCTTTTTTCTAATTGTTTATTATAATGAAAAGAGTGTATTTTTAAAAATTGGAGTCAAACAAATGGCCCTAACATGGTTTTTGAAGATTGCTTCATTGTATTATTATAGGATAGTTGCATGGAATCATTCCCTATGAACACACACACTCACACATATGTATATGTGTGTGTGTGTGTGTGACGTGATGTTGTCTTCCATATTCAGTATACTCTGCATGTCCTATCTGTAATGTGCTCTGTCTGCCGCTCATGCTTGTGCATTTTTTTTGCAGGCAGAAACTGCTTGGGCGTTAACTGTTCTCAGTTACTTCGTGTATTAGTGAAGGAGCGTGTCCTGATCTCTGTTGTTTGAATGTTTCAGGTGGGGTGGAACCTTAATGAACTCTTTTCTTTTTAATGTCGGCCTCATTCTGCTTTGCTCTATCAGGTTTTGATTAATGATTAGCTTAAGTTTCCACCTTGTTAATATTTGTCCATGTGATTGGCACATTTTTTTTCTTAATTCATCTAAAAACTCCAGGTATGGGTTAATAGCTACATATCTTTATCAGTACCTGAGGTTTCTAAATATCACGATAGGAAGTTTAGCTACATATCTTTATCGGTACCTGAAGTTCTGTAAATATCATGATAGAAAGTTTCCAGGTTTAATTGTATTTCGAGCTATTACCTTAGAGATTTTCATGGACTTAACTCTGGTGCACCAAAATGCAAATTTATTTATTGTTTAATTTCTTTTATTTGGTTTCACGTGTCTGTAATCCACATGTGAGTCATACACTTTTTACTGTTTTTTTTTTTTTGCCTTTTCAATTCCTTTCCAATTCCCGAAATATGGGGTAACTGGAGTGGCTTTATGTAAAATTTACCTTCTGATCATCAACTTTTCTTATTTTGATGAGTGTGCTCCAGTTCTGTGCCACAGCATTTGGTTATTATGCACAAGCCACTGCAGCCCAAGAAATTTTTGGTCACACTTTGAAGTCCCTCTGTGGAATTAAATATTTATACAAGTTTAGAACTTTTTCCTATTTTTTAAAAATTCATCAGCTAGTTTTGACTTTCCTTTGGCATAAAATAAATATTGAATGAAGGGAGATATGAGGGAATCGCTTCTTGTCCACTGTTTATGTCATGTGCTTTAAATGCTTGCAAATCATTGTCTCCACAGGTACAATGTGTTCCAAATTGCATTTATCGTGTTCGCGGGTCTTACGTTCATCTACTACGCATTATTTGTAAGTAAAAGCTTGTCATGTGCCCTTCTTAATGTTTGGGAATGTTAACTTTGTATTGAAGAAGAGAGAGAGTATAAAATTAAAACCCGAAATTTCGGGGGCTATTTACAAAAATGGGCTCCCTGAAAGGGACACAGTATACAGACTTGGAATGTCATAGAAGGGAAATGCTCCCTTCTTAATGTTGACTTGGGTTTTGGATGCCTAATTGATTCTTAGACAATCTTGGTGCATTTCCAGGGATGGAGAAGGAGAAAGCCAACTGGTAGGTTTCAGCTTTCCTCTTAGAACTTAGCTCATCCAGATTGGTTTGTGACTATCGTATCTGCTGCTTTTGCCAATGGCTGCCACTTGTTCAGAAGAGGGTACAGAGCAGTCTCTTCTCAAGAATGGTTTTCTCAATTTGGGATCTCCAGTTCCGATTTTGTTGTGCCCTCCTTTACCCTCTGTACTTATAGTAACCAGCATCAGTTTGGATGTGCAATGCCTGATGCCGGTTTGTGACATCTCGTAGTGTAATTTGATGAGGAATTCATTTTGTGAAGTGAGATTGAGATTGGTGATTAGTTCGCATTGCTAATAGAAGTTATAGATTGGTGCATTGTATTGACTACTGAGACTTCAAGTCTTATATCAGAGTTCCTTGTATTACTTTTTGTATTAGGTTTTGCACTGAAGCATCCTCTTAGCGAGAGCTTGTCATTGAAAATGTGTTTGTGTAACCCAGTATAGAGGTCTTAGTCTCAGCGTCTTCAGGTTCCAAGTTTGATTTCCATGTTTTGAGCTTCTCCAACATAAAAAAAGAAGAAGAAAGTAGTCGTTTCATGCTTAAAATTACTGTCCTTCAAAGGAGATTGAGGAAGTATATCTGAAGAAGTAAACCGACATTTGCTGTGAGGACGCAGTTATGGTGAAGTTACCTTGGAGGCTCGGCCTGGCACCTACCCGGGCTCATGGCCTGCCCCCTACCGGGCTTATGGGCCTTGGCCTGCCTTCGGACCTATTGGTCTATGGGTGGCTCTTGCTGGCCTGTTCCTATTGCCCAATACTTTGAATTTCACTTCTTATTGTATCCTTTAATATGGATCTCACTCCTATCATTATATACATCTCTTGTTAATTTAGATAAATTGATTTTTTTTTCTTTATATCAAATGTTGTGGCATAACATACACCAATTAGTTGGGAAAAGGTTTTGATGATGATGATCAAATGCTATTTACTTTATCATTTTTTCTAAAATGCCATTTTCTTTATCATATTTCCTAAATTGAAAAAGTTTATATAAGGTTTCAACCTTAATATAAATTCATCGGAAAATGTTGTTTTAATGTTGAAAAGCTCTCTAATTGATCATCTCAATACTTGACATCGAGATGTATGAATATGAAAAAAAAGAGTTTTGGAATCCCTGAAATAGTGCATCTTGCAACACATGATCTAAGACCATCTATTTTCAAGATTTTCATATGTTTATAGATCTACTTGATTTTGATCATTTTTGGAGTTTAAAACTTTATAGTTAGATATGAAAATATATTTTAAGATAATCTTAATAATTTTTGACAACAAAATTACATGTAATAAAATTTAGGGGCGCGTCTTAATTGGATTGTTTAAGGTTGCAACCTCATAGAAGCCACGCCCTTCCAACCTTATGGAAACCACACCCTTCCAAAATTGGTTTTATGCCCAACATAATCCATCCATCTGATTCTTTTAAAAGGAATCAAAGAAACTTTGAAAAGCATGCTCCAATGGGTTAATATAATTACACTTAAATTGTATATTGTTAATTCTCTCCCTCTCTTGTTCTCTGGGCAATAAGAGAGATGTATTAAGCTTATAAGGCTACATGATAGATTAAAAGATAGGAAGAGATCTCAGGAAAATTCTATTTAACCTTGGCAAAATTGAAATGAAGATGAACCACTTATACACGCATTTTTTTTAATACCCAAATCCATCTTGAAGGGATGGATTTGGCTCTGCCATTGAAGTCTTGAAGGTACTTTTCCCTTGTGCTTTATGTATACATGGGTATATGCACGTTAACTGTCAGCATATTTGCACTCGTCTATTGTGTACATCTGTATGTGCACCTCCATATAAATGCATTTGCCTATATTGAGGGGAATCTATGTTTTGATTTGCAACAGGTCTATCATTTGGTTGGTTATATTGCAAGTGACTAGAACCGGTCCTTGGCATGATTGATTAAGGGGTTGATCAAAATTCTATGCTCCAAGTTCTGTAAACAACTAGAAAACAGACCCTTGATAAATGGAAAGAATAAACCAGCAACGGTATGAGTTTCTAAATGCAAAGATTCCATATTCATCAAGAGATGAAGATTTCATTTCTAATCTCAGCAGTTCACATATAATGCTTAAGCTAAGAATTCTGGATTGCATTCCTTCCCAACCGATGTGATCACACTGATTATATGTAAGAGTATAAAAAAAAAAAAACATTTATAACAATTTCAAAGTGAAAGTGCAGCCATTAGACTTTCTTGACCAAATAATGACCACTGTGAAATTATATAAAATGGTTAGCAAACCTTGAAGCCCAGGCATGGCCTGATAACCTGCCTCCCTACTCAAGCCACTCACATCGAAGTCTCGTGCGATAATTAAAAGGAAAGAGGCAATGCAATATGCAAAGGTATGTTTCCTTGTGTACAGAATGAATATAATGAGCTTAAATGAGTTGAAACCATTCCATTGATGGGTTGCAGGGTCTAGTGATCTAGTCCCACTTGTCCTCCCTGTGGAACACCCACTCTGATATGTTCAAGAGTGCTCTTCCCATCTGATGCAGCGAGGTCGTAGGGCGAGTCTGCGGCAAATTCAGTAGGCAAAGCCTTCCAGTGCAAAGATGGTTCCCATTCAGCTTCCTTGAGAATCTTAAGTATTTCTGCCACCAGTGTATCGCTCCCTTCAGAGGAGAAGTGAACACCATGTCTGCAAGAAACTAGCAATTGTTGGTTCCTGTGATATATAACAGAAGAGACTCAATATTTCATTAGACCTAGGGAGAATATCAAGCCAGTAGCAATTCCACTAAAATTTTCTTAAGTTAATTATTCCACTTTGTAAATCTACGTGTCTCTATTCCCACCTCTCTATCCACTCTTCCTATACATTGTCAGAACCAGGCCGTTGACTTAACCGGTGAGGGCACCTGTTTGGTCAAACCGGTCAGTCTTAACCCGTTCGCTGGTCTAACATGTGAAATAATTTTAAAAGTGGAAAATAAAGAAAAATCCATAAAATAAGGGAAATTATTGACAAATTAGAAGCTAAAAGACTTGGAAAAAGCTCCAAATTATTGCAAAAAAAAAAACCCATCAAGCAACATAATGTAATACTCTTAACAACACTTCAGGAACAAAACATGAAAGCTCATAACCATGACCTATGGAAGCACAAAAAAAGTACAATGCTGCAGTCCACAAGTTTCCACAACTCCAAAATCAACATCCCATGATTGCATGGCCCTTAAAATCACAAAATAAATTTGTGCTTCGCACATTGTTTTTTTAACTTATTTTTTGGGTTCTTGCTCTTTAAGGGCCTTTACAATTTGTAAAAACCCATAAAAGTTTATGTTCTTCATCATCATTATTATCATCCGAGCCATATCCCAATTAAGTGGGGTCGACTGCGGAATCATTTTTTGGGTATTTTTCTTTTCTTTTTAAAGACTTCCACTTGAACCAAATCACGCCTCCTAATTGGTGTTGTTCTAGGTTGATGTTGTACATGGCAAAGACCACCTAAGTCTCCTTTTCCTGATCTTATTGCCTATTGGAGCTACCCCTAAGCTCCCTCGGATGTATTTATTCCAAATTTTATCCTTTCATGTCTTGCCACCCACTCATCTCAACATCCTCATTTTGGCTAAACTCATTTTATGGATATATTATTTCTTGACCAACCAACATTTTGTTCCATAAAACACGGGTGGTTTACACCCATCTTATAGAATTTCCCCTTCAGTTTCATCATAAAATTGGAAGCTACCCCTAAGCTCCCTTGGATGCATTCACTCCAAATTTTATCCTTTCATGTCTTGCCACCCACTCATCTCAACATCATCATTTTGGCTAAACTCATTTTATAGATATATCCTTTTCTTGACCCACCAACATTTTATCTCATAAAGTACAGGTGGTTTACACTCATCTTATAGAATTTCTCTTTTAGTTTCATCATAAAGTTTGATATTCAAAGCCAAAAATACAAACACTTACAGAAACAATTTTATGCTTTTGCATGTTCTTTTTTAAGGGATTTAATGTATTGTAACAGTGCTTAAAATTTTAAAACTGAAAATGCAAAAAATAGAAATGCACAAAATAAGTCCGCATTTTCTTTTTTAAGGGTTTTACAAATTGTAAAAGTGCTTAAAATTTAAAAACTGAAAATGGAAAAAATAGAAATTCACAAAATAAGTCTTTGCTCTTTTTCTTCTTCTTCTTCTTTTTCTTCTCTTTTTTTTTTATTTTTTTGTTGGGGGGGGGGGGTGATTTACAAAGCCCTTTAAAATTCAAGATAAAAAGTACACTGTATAAATCCCGTTAAAATTCAAGACAAAAAATACACTGCATAAATCCCTTTAAAATTCAAGACAAAAAATACACTGTAATGTTTTTAATTAACTTTATGACCTGTTTAAGCTACTGACTCGGGTGAGCTCGTTGGAGAGTATAGAGTAATAGGTACAAACTCATGTACCTTATGTAATCGCTTGCTATAACTTAACAAAAATAAAAAGTACAACATATAATAAAAGTAAATGTGACATAATCACTTGACAGTCCTTGTATTTGACAAATTTGTGATTATGTCAAATTTGTTTTATTGGAGCCTCAAAAAGAGGCACATTACAGTCCTCATTGAAAAATTATCTGATGTGATAAGATTCTTCTACAGATTTGTGATTATGTCCAATTTTTTTTTGGATGTCATGTGATTATGTTCGTATTACTCTACTATATTCTTCTACAGATTTGTGATTATGTCCAATTTTTTTTGGATGTCACGTGATTATGTTCGTATTAATCTGTACTTTTACATTTGTTAGGCTGAAAAGTGCCCTTTTCGAGCAAGTCCACTTGGACATGCCTGAGTTAACCCAGCTCTGGCAGGTGCCAAGTTTCGAGCCCAAGACAATTGGTTGTTTATTACTACCACTATAGCAGCAGGCGTAGTAGCAGTAGGAGTGGTAGTAGTAGCAGTAGTAGAAAGCAGCAGTAGTGGATAGATATAGATATAGTAGTTTTTTAGGGTTAATATTTGTGATTACTACTCATTATCGAGAGAGAGACCTAAATGTTATTATAAGTCGATGAGCAACCTATCCAATTATGATAAAATTAAATATTCAATTTGAAGATAATGATAAGAAAATAGACAAAAAACTAAAAATGAAAACTATTAAGAATCAATAGGATAAAATAGGAAGTAAAAATGGTGTTTTTCTCAAAAATAAAAGGAGTGCACTCAAAATAAATTGACAGGTTAGACCATTGTTATTAACACTCTAAATTTCTAGACCACCTGCATGATCTATAAACTTGTTCCAAGTTCTGTGCGTGTATCTTCCTTTGAATCTCATGATTCTGACCACTTAAGCTACAAACGATAGGATCCCCTTTGCTGTTTGAAGCAGTGTTCGTAAAATTGAATTGGAACGATTAATCGGATATGAATTGGAACGATTAATCGGATATAAGACCGGAAGCGCTTTAACTGGCCTAATTGGTAAATCAGCCAATTCAACTGTTTTAACCGAGGCAAGTCCCGCACAGTCAAAAAATAGTTGAAAAAATAAAAAAAGTATAAAAAGAAAAATACTAAAATATGAAAAGCATATAAAGAATGATTAAGACAAAACACATTGAAATAAAGTTGAAAATTAATGAAAAAAATGGATTTGTGCCTAGGGGTATTTTTATATTTTGTTTTAAAAAAGATGGAAAAATATAAAAATAAATATTAATGAACAAAACAATATTTAATCTTTACCATAATATAAAAAATATTAAAAAAATACATTACAAACTAAATTCCTTATTTTTGAGATTTTATATAAATTTTTTGAATTATGCTTTTTAAAATACTGATCGATCACCAAAACCGCCCAAAATCGGAACCGGCACTTGCTAGTTCCGATCTAACCGGGCAGTTACAGGTTAGATCGCCAGGTTTTTCCAACATGGGTTTGAAGTCGCGAATTAAATGTTAAATATAGCTTGGATCCATAAAAGAGGACCACCAAATATCGTTCTATTAGTTTGGCAAAAGAGCTATATTCATAATACTTAGACATGCAAAAGTCTATCACTTCCACTATCGCTGATGCTCATTTTTACTTTGACAACTGAATGCTTTGATTTTTGAGATCCTCTCTATTATAGCATATAAACATGAAAGCGTAGGATCATGTAAGCCTTTAAATTTGAAACAGAAAACTCAAGATGGTCATATAAATGTCGTGGATAAAGCCTTCTACTCAATTTCCTTTTTAAGTGACAAATGTATCAAATAAAATAAGTACATGGTAGACTGGGAAGAACCATGGAATCACCACACTCCCTGGTTTTCCAATACTTTTAAAAGTTCCTTTGTTAAATATAGCCCTGTCCGGATCAGACTTTCCCAGGTCGAACCAATGGAATCAGACTCTACCACTGATGAGAATCCCAATTTCAATTTTTGAAACATCAATGATAGTAAAATGAACTTCGAGATTTGGGAGACTTCAGTAAAACATTATCTTAATAAAAGCCTTTCGTACAGAAATTTCACAATCATCCAAAGTTGTTAGATGTTGAATCGGGTAGCCATAAGTGTAATATTGACCAAACTCGAAGTCTGAGCAAATTTTCCATGACTTTGAGTAGATAAATGACACATCCAAACCATCTAATTTGACATTTGATGGCATGTGTATTTGTAAACTTAGTATATGAAAGGTAAAGAGTCTTATTGTACAAAATCCCTAAATATACTATGGCGTACTTTCTCTACAATTCATAACATATAACTCATCCCAGAAAAGTGAAAGTACATCTTCCATCAAGAAGTCTCATGAGAGACCACTAATGCTAAGAATTTCACCAAAAAAGAGTCATCTATGCTTCACAAGGGAAAGGTGCATGGACAAAAATTAGGTCTTCTGAACATTTCTATGACAAAGATGATACAAGTGAAATGAAAAAAATGATACAAGTGATGGCTCATGCTTAAATGTCCTACTCATTTTAAACATGTGGGATACTATCCACTTCATCACTAACAGTTTCTTGGCCATTAACTTTGGACTCCTATTAGAGAGTAGACATATTGCATATATCCATTAATTTGACCAGATGGATAAAATCATTTTGATTCATCTATGCTTAAGGAACTCGGACAAACAGAACTGTATTATAACCTATCAAGAACCATAGCAAAAAGGGTACTGGAACACTAAAAGCAGTGAACATAAAAGCATAAAAAAATTCAAAACAGTCAGCAACAAAATGAGGCCGAAAATTGAGGTTCCTTAGATATATTGATCAAAAAATAAAAAACCGAGAGGTTCCTTTTATGATAATAAGTGGCCAAAAAAGGATGATTTTTACACTCATGAAACTAGCTAACCAGGAAATAATAAAAAAAGTCTCAAATAACAATTATCATCATCATTCGTGCCTTATCCCAACTATTTGAGATCGGCTACATAAATTATGTTCCGCCAGTTTGCTCTATCAAGGACTACACTCTCAGCCAGACTATTTAGGATTTATAAAAAGGTTTGGCAAAGCATTACACTGGCTGCCCTACCAAACACAATCTTCCTCCTTTATCCGAACTTGGGACCAACTAGCTTGGGACTAGCCATGGCGGAGTTAGATAATAATAATAAAAAAATAAAGATGAAAAATGAAAAACTAAGCTCACTGGTAACATTAACTCGACCATACCTTGGGAAAAAGTTTCTCTATCACTTCGAGGGCACGCCTTGTGTTCCAACCAGAATATCCCCTCACCAAAATATCTGCCTACAAAATGACAATTGACCCTAAGATATCTAACAAAGCAGGAAAAATAACATGGCTTTCGAAAGTAGCATAACAATACGTACAATAACCATATATCCATTTGACACATCAAAATTATGAAAAACGAAAAATAAAAAGAAAGATAAAACATATATTCTAATAATCTAACTTAAACATATAGACAGCATTTTCAAAACACAGTTCTTTACCTGTTAGTAGAATTTAAACCACCACAACAATGAAGGCACCATAACATTATAAACTGCAATGACGATCAATATGAAGTAGAAGATGAAAAAGCTCCTGATATATGTATTATCTTTACTATTACTGCAATTCCTACTGCCACTGCTATACTACCACCACAACCACCATTACCATCATTATTGTCATCATTATGACAAGTCCCTCCTATTGTTGAACTAAAACCAGAACACAACACACATCTTTTGAGTTTCAAATTTTATTGTCGATGTTCGCATTGTAATTTTAGAGTCATCATAGATATTTTTATTGCCAAAAGTGCTTTTTGGATGAGAATTTAAGGTGGGGCTTTATTTTGTTTTCATAAAGCTTAGGCTGATAGAAACTTTATCCTTTAATTATATTTTAATTATATAGATCATAGAAAATGTAGTTCATTTGGATGTCCGATCAATGGCTGGACGGTGATGGTGACTCATTGGACACTTTTGGAGTGGTGACATGTGGTGATTCTCAGTGTTCAACTCCTGATTGGATGGTGATGTGATTACAATTGACATACATCCTTTTGAGCCATGCCACACATACAATTAAATTGCATGCTACATGTAACCACATCTTTCACAACTGACATTCAATGGTTGCGATAAACTGTCCCTCCATTTGGGGGCGGGTCACAAAATTAAGGATGGGTTTTGGTGTGCTAGCTAATGCAGACCTATTCAGATGCAAAAATCCCATTTTTATTTTTTAGTGTAAACTTGAGATCCCATTTTTTTTTATGAGAATTTAGCAAATGGAAATATCCATCTAATGATGGATTTTAGACCTAGAAGTCCATAGGTTGATAAACTTCATCACCGCGATCAAGAATTCAAAAAATAACAGACTATGAACTATAAAAATAGGCTATTTTAAAGTTTGTCTTTGAACCTCTATTATTATTCCTATTAATTCTTAGTAACTCATCAGATATGCACTAATGGTTTTAAATATATCTGGCGCACCCACGTGTGAAGCATGTATGAAAATTGGTCCCAACCATCATATCTAAATAGACGGTGGGAATGCTTTATCACAATGTCACATTGAACATTGTTTGATTTTTAATTTTAATTTTTTTCACAAAATTTAGGAATTAAATTTGGGACATGACCTCACCTTATTGGGGCACACCTAGCAAAAATGAAAACTAAAAATTTCTTATAAAAATAAATAACCAAAAAGTCCCTACAAATTCTAGGGAAGTTTCTTCATTTTTCCTCATCAAAAATATTTTCTTACTATTTTTATCATGTGCAACTTTGTTAGATGTGTGCGCACCCCATATTTCACTTCAACATGATTTATAATATAAGAAATAAAAATAAAATTCTTTGAGCCATTAGATCATGATCTGATGCTCAAGAGTTGAATTGTGACTGAAAGAATTCCAACTATCCATTCAAAGTTTTCACCCATATATATATAAAGCAGAAACACATCTAGAGTGCATGCCATTTGGTTGAAGTCATATCTGCACATGAAATAGAGATTTAGAAGGGGCATGTTTTGCAGTAATTAATATAAGAGTCTTAAATTATAATAGACTGAGAATGCCATAATCGTCGTGACCAATGGCACATGTGGGTATGAGGTTCATCACCATTCGTCCAATTTTTGGATGATGATTACATAACAGTAGTGGGACCAACTAAGTTATGCTTGTATATCACTCACTAATAGGTTAATTGAGCAGTGATCAGCCTTATAATAACCTATACCAAGTATTTACGATGCAAATCGAAACGATCTCAAGATGAGATTCGACCTGATTCGAACCACAAACTGATTTTTTTCAAAAGAGCGATAGAGAGTGGGACAATCAAATTCTGATATGAGGTCAGATCTATTAAAAAACGAATAGATCCGCTATCAGATCAGTGGTAGAGCCATAATTGATCCAAAAAACACGAAATACAATATAAAATGCAATAAAATGGATTTAATTCTAATAAAAATAAATAAATATAGAAAAGAAATGCAGAAAGAGTAAAAAAAAATACTAGACTGGGCCAGTTGGCCCTGGGCTTCTGAGGCTTCGAGGCCTCGTCCGTATCAAGATCGGCCTTGGCTTGGTTAAATGAATATCTTAATATAAGGGTTGCAGCTGACCTAAAGCTAAGGTTTTTCGAGGTCTAGGTTTCTCAAGTCTCACAATCTCTCTCTCTCTCTCTCTCTCTCTCTATCTCTCTCTCTCTCTCAGATTTCCTAGCCTACCACGTCCACATCTAACCTCTTCAAAGTGACACACTAGTTTTTTTTTCTTATGAAAGTGTCACGCTAGTTTCTTTTCTTGTGGAATGGATAACTACTAATATGGTGGTCTATGGTTTAGGGGTCTACTGAAGTAGTATGGTCTTATGGGTTCAGGAAAACCATGGAATTTGTCAACTTTAAAATGGGATGTATACACCAAGTGCTCAGGAGTGTTACAATATACTTATTGAAAGGCAAAGAAAAAGTAGAAAAAATGAAAAAGAAAGAAAAAGCTTTCTATTCATTTTGTGATTGGTTTTTTAAGGTAAAACTTGTATTAGAGGTTCGAAAGCTGGAGCTTTTAATAGCATCGCTAGTTTTCCTGATGGCTGCTTGCTACTTTGGGGAGATAGCATATGCAAAGCCCAAGGCATAAGAGGTATTGAAGGGAATATTCATTCCCAAGCTTAGTGGTAGTGGCATGACCGGTGTTGTGATTGCCCTCATTGGGGCTCTTTTTATGCCGTAATCTTCTCTCTCTCTCTCTTTGTATATAGACAAAAAAAGGGTTGTCACCTAAAATGAGTAGTAGTTTCGATAATGTATGTTATTATTTAATAGCCTTTTCCCATTTGCACTTTAGGTTCAATAGATTCTCTCTTCAACGGATTCTCCCTCTTCTCTCTCTCCCTAAGAATGATTTATGCTTCGACCTGAAATTTGTGTATGGGGTGTCACAGAGTGCATGCAGATACTTCTCGATTGAGAGTGGGTTTGTACTTTTTATAGCTTTTCTGATCAACGTGGTGGTGGTGTCAATTTCGAGTACTTTGTGCATAAAGTCGGATATCTCCCCTGAGGACAAAGATAGATGTGACAACCTTGATCTGAGCACTGCATCCTTCTTGCTCAATCTATCATTCACCCAAAATGTTTTGGTATATAAGAGAGTGTCTCTCACCCTATATTTATGTGTTGTCTTAATATAGTACGAAGTAAGGTTTTAAAAATCATTGAGCTGACTCATAATGGTAGGTGTGTGATTCCAGTCTGAAAAACCAGAAGTCCCTTGATTCCCACAGTTTTTTCAATTTGTTTTTACTCTATCCCAGGGATGTTCCAACTTGGAATCAAGCCCCTCATAATTCAAATCCATTCTTACTCGGTTGCTTTTGATTTTCAAAACTCTAATTTTGACGTTTTCTCTTTCCCCATATCTTATCGAATGTGCTTGGTAGTTCTAGTTCCACAGTGTATTGCCATCACCTTATTAGCTTGGGCAGAGCTCTACGATTACAGGACCCTACGCTGGTTTGTACATCATGCAGGTATTTACACTAGAATGAAGAATTGAGATGCATATTATATATTTTTGCAAGATATATGTTATTTTTTTTTGAAAAAGATAATATATATACTAACATATAATCTTGTTATTGTTATCATTGCAAGGGTTCTTGGAACTTTGAATAAAGAAATGGTTGAGAAATCTGATGACAAGGTGTATTGCCACTACCCCAAGTTTAGTGGTTGGCAACCACTAAACTTGGGGTAGTGGCAATACACCTTATCATTAGATTTCTCAGCTATTTCTTTATTCGAAGTTCCCAGAACCCCTACAACAATAACAGTAACAATATTATATATTAGTATATATAGTATATTTTTCAAAAAAGAAATATATATATCTTGCAAAAAATATATAATCTGCCTCTTAATTCTTCATTCTAGTGTAAATACCTGCATGATGTACATACCAACGTAGGTACCTGTAATCATAGAGCTCTGCCCTGAGGTTAGTAAGGTGATGACATATACTGTAGAACTAGAACTACCAAGCATATTCTGTAAGGTATGGGTAAAAAGAAATATTTTGAAAATTGGAAGCAGCCAAGTAGGAATGGGTTTGAATTGCAAGGGGACTGATTCCAAGTTGGATCATCCTTGGGACATAGTAGAAAAAACTTTAGAAAACTATGGGAATCAGGGACTTCAAGTTTCTCAAATTGGAATCAGATACTGACCATTATTATCAGCTCAACGATTTTTAAAACCTTGTTTATTACTATATTTAGACAAAACATAAATACAGGGTGAGAGACACTCTCTTTTATACCAAAACATTTTGGGTAAATAATACCTTGTGCAAGAAGGATGCAATGCTCAGATCAAGGTTTTCACATCTATTATTGTCTCCAGGGAGTATGTCTGACCTTGAGCACACAGTTCCCGAAACTGACACCACCACCACGTAGATCAGAAAAGCTATGAAAAATGCAAGCCCACTCTCAAACAAGAAGTATCTGCATGCATTTTGTGACACCTCATACAAAAATCTAATTTAGGTTGAAGTATAAATCATTCTTAGGGAGAGAGGAGAGAGAGAGAGAATCCGTTGAACCCAAAGTCCAGATGGAAGAAAGACTAAAAGGGCTACTAAAAAAAAGTGAGACCTAAACAAGTAACAAATTGAAGAAAAAAAAAGAAAGTCAAGTGGATTGGGTATGGGCTTGAGTGGTTAATAATTAATATTAGCAATGCTACATCTCAAGTTCGAT